CAGCAGGAACACCTGGGTATGTTGGTCTTCCTACTCACTCCTGTTTTTCCCATTGTCTTTTCCGTTGGGTTGTGTTGTATCAAGGGGCTGCCTGATAGCCAGAGTTGGAAAGTTGACCCAACTGAAAAATACCTTTTTTTTTTTTTTTCCCCCCTTGCATCATTTAAACATGGATCGCTTCTCTCTGGTTTACGACACATCCCTGCAAGCACTTGCACTGGCACAGCTGAAAAGGCAGGCAGGGGAAGAAGGGAGGACCCAAGGAAACCTGACCTGGCAGTCCTGTACATTTTCACCACATTAGGGTTTTAGGTTTTGCTTGTTCACTTGCCCTCAGTACTGTCTGTGGGTTGTTTTGGTTTTGGTTTGTTTTTTTTTTTTTTTTTGTCATCCTAGGTTTGAATTTTTATGTGGACCTGCTGGCTGAGATAGCTAGACGCTTGAATTGTCACTGGTGTGTTAGGGGCATTAGCTATCATTTCTGTTGGACCTTGGCTGTGCTGTGCCTTATGGGTTTGCTCTTCTACTGCCTAATCCCAGTGAAAGTGGGAGTTGGCTGGGAGAAGTTGGAAACCAAAATGATGACTTTGGTTGAGGAAGAAGACTGTTTTTCCCATACTGAGAGTCTGTGCTTTCTGACTGAGGCAGTCATGGACCAGAAGATTTTATGAATCCATAGGTCTGTCTGGGTCCCTGACCACACTAGTACAAGTGGTTCATAATTCATCCAATGCGTTTATCCTTCCAACACTTCGCTTTTTTAAGAAGGACTGTCTTCTTTTTTTCATTTCTCCCCCTCCCCCAAACTAAGGTGCAGAGATCAAATAATTTATCAGCTGCACACACAAATCTGAGTCTTAGCTGGGACCTGAATCTATAACTTTTAAGTGTCTGGCTGTCAGCCTTCTCTTTGGACTGTTATTCCTAATGCTTGTAGTTGGAGACATTCCTTTCGCCTTGTCTCCAAGAGGCTAATTGCCCTCTGATGTAGTCGTCGATGAAATTATCATTCCTCTGTAGTCAGCTGATTGGATGGTGCTTTTCTGAGTTATTTTTAGAAATCACTGAATACACAGTGAGGGATTCTACTTCATGTACTCCCATCCAGACAGGTGACTAATGTAACCTTTGAGGTCACACTGTGTACAGGTTTGTTACAGTGGATGCAATTCGAATTGCTGAAGAGGGTGAAGGGAGCTGTGTGTAACTTGTATGGGCTTTCTTCGGGTTTTTTTTCCTGTCCTCTGTACTTCAGAATTCCAGGTGAAAAGGCCTCTTTACTTCTGCTAATATGTTTCAGATGTGAACTATAAAGGTGCTGGAGGTAAAACTTCCAATGGATATGGCAATACCATGACACTATAATGTTAACGCAACATCTAAATCTGTTGGTTTCCATGGAATTCTGCAAAGATTTTGCCCAGCTATTTATGGTCTAAATGGATTCAGTTTAAGAATACTTCCATAAATATGAGGGATAATACTTCTTTTTGCATTCGGTATGTTAAAATAATTAGATAGGGTCCTAGGGACTGACTTTTCTGCATTGTTTTTCTTACACAAATTACTAACAATAAAACAATGGTAGGTCAGATGTGTAGCTGCTGCAATTCACTGAAATATTTTGAATGAAAACTGAAATGAATTTGGTGCTTTTTGTTTGCTTTATTAGCGTGTATGATGCTAAACAGCTCTTGGTGTAATAGTATTGTTCTTCAGTGGGGTCTAAAGACATCACCATCTCTGGAACTCATACTTGAATTTTCTTGCAGTTTCACAAAGGTTTTTTTCTTTTTCTTTTTTTTTTAAGTCATTTGTATAACCATAATTCTGCTTCTCCGTTCTGGAACAATTGTACATTTTTGGGTCTGCCCATGTTTCACTTCAGTAAGCAAAATGGTTGCCTGCTTCCACTTCTTTCTTTGAAACAAATTGGTTATAAGTGCTTGAGTATTCTGGACAGGATTTAAACTTGAATTTTATGTTGTGTTGGTGAAAGCTTTGCCTAGTAATAAAACGTGTGAAAGATATTTGAGAGATATGTATTTTATTTTGTTTAGCATAGCAGTAAGAAAGTTCATATGGTTGGGAGTGCAATTACTTAACTAAATTATCCAGGAAAATTGAAATTAAATTCCATTTTTAATATTCTGCCTGGGGAAGTGATATTGCTTGTTTCTTCAGCAGTGTCAGAACATATGATAGGTTGAAACTCTTTTAAGCTTCCTTAATAATTTAACATAGGAAGAAGAAATTGTTTCATTTTAGATCATGCTGGGTGTATATATGTGATGCTGGTCACCAGCAGAAGAGGGAAGGTGTATTTTTGTGGACAACGGGACAGAATAGGTTGTATGAATGGGGGTGGGAGCATCTGGCAAGTAATTTATTAATTACAGAAATAAAGTTAACTAACATAATAGTGTTATAATTACAGAAAGTTTCCAGGACACAGGTTTGCCAGAGGACATCCCAGCATTTCACATTAATTTTTCTCTTTTGTTTTAGGCTCTGGATGTTGACCGAACTGTTCTCTATAAAATGAAGAAATCTGTCAAAGCCATAAACTTATCTGGTCTGGGTAAGTACATAATAATTCCTGGTAGTTTATATTGGTGAAATTGGAGGATTTAAACAGTCCGTCGTCTTACTGAATCAGAAAGAGTTATATCGGTAACTCTGAGAAGAGAAAAACTTACATTTTACATAGCAGTCTAGAACTAGCTGCTTGATCATGAGCTCAGTAAGGATGAAATTTTGTGAGGTAGCTGAACCTATTTAGCTGGCATACTGCTACCAAGTGGGGAAGCCGTGCTCTCCTCTTTCCACCAGGTTTGGGCTACCTGCTCCTTCTGCCACCCCTGGTGCTTGGCAGATCCCTAGATGAGATTTTTAGCTCATACAAAGCTGCGTGTGCAGTGAAATCAACTGTGATTAGATGAACACCTGAAATGGTAAGGCATATGTATCATCGAGAGCTGAGGGCATGGGAGGGGTGAAATGACTCTCTTTGGCAGCAACAAGAAGCTACATTGGCTCAACTCCTTTGTGAAACCTCACCCTTCCTGGTGGCTTTCAGTTGTGAGAACTTCATGACAAGAGAGAGCTGATGAGCTGCAATTTTTTATTGTCATGATGCATAAAGTCAGATTATTTCTCTTACAACACTGATAAAAATATAAAAAACTATTGCTGTGTGCATTTTTATACGTGTGCCAATCTCATGGAGTTTTGTGTGTGTATATTCTTTGAAAAAATAACTGAAGCTTTTGTTTTTGTGGATCAGCAGCATTTTGTGAATAAGAAATGGCATTTGTTTTTGTGGATAAGAAACAGCATTTTGTTGGCTTTTGTTCTTGCTTTGCAGTTCATAGCAATTAGAGCTAACAAAACCTATATTATATGCAAAATAGATAGGCCTGGCGACCTTCAAGAGCCACCAATATCTGACAGAACTTGTGGGCATGTTGGTGTTCAGATATAAGGTTATAACAAGAACTGCTGTTGTGGTATAATTCTTATCAGCTCATTGAAAGGAAGTTCCTTCTTGCCTAACATAGTGAGCTGTTATCTCTGGATTGTGGAGGGTCCAGTTGAAGATACATCTGGAGCTGTGTCATCTGTTACATATTTATTTGGCACCTTTTCTTCTGGTTTTTTGGGTTTTTTTTTTTTTTTTGTTATTGTTTTTTTGTGGGTTTGGGTTTTTTTTGAGTGCTTGACTATGCCTCATAATCAGTGCACTTGTTAGAGCATTGTAGCAAATCACTACAATTTTTGCATAAAATCAGTACCTTGCCTAGTTTTTAAATTCATGCTGCCCGATCTTGACAATTGTCCTGGTTTCAGCTGGGATAAAGTTAATCTTCTTCCTAGTAGCTGGTATAGTTCTGTGTTTTGGATTTAGTATGAGAATAATGTTGATAACACACTGATGTTTTAGTTGTTGCTGAGCAGTGCTTATGCTAAGTCAAGGACTTTTCAGCTTCTCATGCTGCCCTGCCAGCGAGGAGGCTGGAGGTGCACAAGAAGTTGGGAGGGGGCACAGCCAGGACAGCTGACCCCAGCTGGCCAAAGGGATATTCCATACCATATGACATCATGCTGAACAAAAAAAACTCGGGGGAGTGAACCGGGGGGGGGGTGCAGCTGCTGCTCTGGGAC